CGCGCCGATGCCCCGCCAGCCAGTGCGCGAAACAGAAGGCCCAAGATAATCCCATGGGTAGAGAGAGTTATCAGCATTGGGCGCGCGTAGGCGCCCCAATCCGTCGGCAGGTTGCGGACGCAATGGAAAAAACATCCTCGACGTCAGCCTGGGCCACCCGCAACTTGCTTCTGCCGCTTCCGCCCTCCTCTGCTTCGCGAGCCCCGTCCGACGAGCAGGTCCTAAGTCGTTCCAGAGTTGCCCGGGCGGCCGCCGCGTCCATCTCGGGCGCGGGAGGAGCAGGAACGATCAGGTTCTGTAGTGCGCTAAGCATCTTCGCTGCAAAGAATGGGATGACAATGCCGCGAAGAAGGGCTTCAAATTGGGCCAAGTGGGACGGGCAACAGGTCCCCAAGACGGCGCAGGAAGCCCCGGGTCGCCCCAAGACCGCCCCAAGACGATCACGACGGCCTCAAGACTGCAAAAAAGAAGCTCCCAAGACGCCCCAAGAGCCCCAAGAGCTACCCCGAGCAGAGAGCAGAGCAGAGCGCCGGAAACCGACCCGAAGGACGGCCCTATGAGAGCCCAGCGGGGGCGCCGGAGCGCCAGAAGGCCCATTCGTTGTAGTTGCCTTAGTTCAGGAAGCGACGCATGTAGTCCAAGAGGCCTTCTTCACGAGTCTTCCACCATGGTAGGTTCTGGGCCAACACCCACCATTTGGAATCGCTGCCGGTGTCGACCACGTCATGTAGATAAGATGCAATGCCATAGTGCCAAAGCTTCTTTTGCCCGCCATGTCGGCGAAAGGCTGGGCGTAGGTCGTATGTGCATGGGTCCCAGCTTGCACTCAGTCGCGTCCATCTGTCGTGATCGTGGTTGGCCACGCGTGCTGCGAACGCCCAGTTTCGCTTGAAGTATACGTCGGTCCAATCGTCGACTCGCGCTCGTTCGGTGCGTGCCAAAGCGGCGGAGGTACTTCTCCGTATGAAGTGAACCGAAGACTCAGATCCATCGTCGCTGTCTCCGTCGGTTGCTGTTGTCGGCGCTGGTGTCGGTGTCGGTGTTAGTGCTAATGCTGTCAGTGCTGCTGCTGTTGTAGGTGCAGGTGCTAATGTCGGTGTTGGCGCTGTTTTCGCTTGGTGCTGGTGCTGGAACTGGTGCTGTGTTCGGTGTTGGTGCTGGTGCTGTGGTCCGTGCTGGTGCTGGTGCTGGTGTCGTCGTCGTCGTCGCCGTTCGGTGCTGGTGTCGGTCCTGGATTCGGTGTCGTTGACGTCGACACGTGTGTCGTTGTTGGTGTCGCAGCCGGCGCGTGCTGTCTGTCTGCTCTTCCAGCGTGTTCCGTCTTCTCGGCGTGTTGATGATCAGTCGGAGCATTTTCCGTTGTGTTCGTTGTAGCGTGATGAGCATATCCTTGGTGAGTGTCCACGAGGAGCAACCGTACATAACGCATGGTGTGATCGCGCCGCTGAAAAGTCGGAGTCTGCTTTGCAATGGGAGCTTTCTGTTGGTAAGTTCACACCGAAGCGTGTGAAACTTCGACCATCCGGCGGCGATCCGGTTTTTCAGCTCATTTCCGTGGAAGTCGTGGAACGATAACTTTTTGCCCAAGTATTTCGTACCCTGGTCGTTGGGTAGGATGTCTATGCGTGCACCATCTAAGGCGATGTGCGCGATTGTTCTGCCAGCCCTCTGGCTGACGTTTGTGAGAATATTGGTCTTGTCGGGGTGACGTGAGAGTCCACAGCAGGATGCCTTGTTCTTCAAGTCGCGCAACAAGCATGTAAGTTGGCAAAGGTTCGGTGCGTAGAGCAGAACGTCGTCTGCGAAGCGTAGGTTCGTGATGCTTGCTTCTTGAGCAACACCGAGCTTGATGCCACACTGGTTGCGTTGCCAGCCGGGCTTGATCTGTCGGAGGATATGCTCCAGGAGCGCATTGAACAGGAAGGAACTGAGCGGATCTCCCTACTCCACACCCCGCTGTAGGCTAAAACTGCGACTGGAGGTCTCAGTGCGGGCAGTGGCCGTCTGATCATTGTACGTGTGCCGAATGAGGGTGATGTACGCTTCGGGAATATGTTGCTGTCGCAGAGCGTCCCATAGGTGCTTGTGGTCCACGCAGTCGAACGCCTTCTTGAAGTCGATTGCTGCCGCCCAGAGCGGTAGCTGCCAACAGTGTGATTGCTCGTGCAACATTGCCGTCGTGAAGGTGGTCGTCCGTGCTGAAGCCTCGCCTGAAGCCAGCCTGGTCAGGGCTTTGTTGTGCGTCAAATGTGGCTTCTAGTCGATTGCAGAGGAGGCGGAACATGAGTTTGTACAGCAGTGGGATGATGGCGATCGGTCTGTAGTTTTGCGGTAGCTTGGGGTCCCCAGACTTGTATATCACAGTTATCGTCGTTCTCTTCCATTGTGTGGGCGGTGGGCGGTTTAGTTTGATAATGTCGTTGTAAAGCTGAAGTAAGTGCGATTCAATGGCGGCTCCCCCAGCTTTGAGAAGTCCGGCTGTGAGTCTTGCAATGTCGCTGCACTTGCCGATTTTCAGTTGCTTGATGTGGGCGCCCAACGCCATCGAAAGCGCGCGCGCTCGCTTGTGCTGCGTTGCGCGCGGGCACAAATTTCGCGCCCGCGCCTGGCCCGCGCGCGGGCGGGCAAGCTGGGCGCGCGGGCCGCCTCCCGCTTTCCTGCGCCGCGCGGCGCGCGGCCCCACGAGAAGGGCCCGCGCGCGCGAGGCGGGGGGGCGTCAGCATGTGCCTCGCGGCGCGCGGCCCCACGCGAAGGGCCTGCGCGCGCGAGGGGGGGGGGGGGGAGCGACGGCACGTGCCTCGCGGCGCGCGGCCCCGCGCGAAGGGCCCGCGCGCGAGGGGGGTGCGTCGTCACGCGCGTGGCTAGTCTGCTCTTCTGCTCGCTTTGCGTCGAACGCCCCGTGCAGGCGCGCCGCGGGGATCGCGTCGGGGCGGTTCGCGGCGCGCCTCGGGGTCGTGCGATGTGCAGGCATTGGTGCTTGCATCTCGCAGGCATGTGCGCTTGCGTCCCGCCGTGGCGGACGGCGCGCGCGCTTTCGCCCCGCCCTCCCGCTCCTGGGGGGTACTTGCATCCCTGGCGCCCCGCGCGTCGGCTCAGACTGGCACCGCCAGGCTGGACGGCGCGGGGGGTGCCGCACCCCTTGTCAAGTGGGTGCGGGCACCCTCGGGTGCGGGAGGCTTCTGGCGCAGCTGAAATTTGTGTGCATGTCGAAGCTTTTTTGGTGTGAATGGTGGTATGCTCGAGTCTGTTGCCGTGTCAGTGTTGCTAGACATGTCGCTGTCGTCCTGCGGTGTTTTATAGAGTTGCTCGTAAAAGGTGGCGAAGACGTCTGCGATGCTCTGTCCGCCAGTTGTTTCGTCGCCGCTTGTGGTTGTCATTGACGCGATCATGTTTTTTTTTCCTTGAACGTTTTCGTGCCCGCGATCCTCTTGAGGTTTTTGAACTGGCACACAATGGCTTCAATCCTGGCGTTTTCCCGGACGCGCTGGATGGTTCGAAGCTGTTTCAAAATGAGTTTGTTCAGTGTACTCCTGGTGGTTGTGTCGGCATGCGGTGTGTTGCGCCGTCGGTCAATGAGGTCGCGCAGCTTATTGTTTGATGTGACGTCGTCTTCGTGTGCTTGGTGTCGCGGTGAACTGTCGTGGTACTCGTGGTAGTCGCCGTGAGCTTGGACAAGGGCTTTGGTGATGTGATTGCTCCTGTCGTCAGTGCTGGCTGCGACGTCGTGGGCGTCGAGTCTGTGCTGTAGGTAGTGTTGGTACAGTGGATCGGCAGCAAGTGGGCGCGTAGACCGATGATTGGATCGTTTTGTCCGCTTCTTCCGCTTCTTCTCCGGCGTGGCGTCGAAAACAAGCCTCATACATACCGTTTGGAGGTTGGACCCGAGGTCTGGAATAGCTGTTGCAAACGAGTCATGCACCTGGTTGCGACGATCTTTGCCGATGAATATGTAGTCGATCTGTGTGTTGGGTATGGTTTTCCCCATTGCTGGTATAAGTGAAGACGTTGCGATCATGCTTGTAGAACAACGTGTTGGTGATAAGCATCTTCTGTGAACTTGCCCATGCTCGTAGCCACATCCCACGTGTGTTGCACGCTCCGGTTCCGTGTGGGCCAACTGTGAGTCTCCGGCCTCTGTTGGCATTGTCTTCCTCGTCCGCGTTGATGGGATGTTTGCCTACCTGTGCGTTGAAGTCTCCAGTGGTGATTGTGGTGCGCTTCTGCTTGGCGGTTTCGTCGTGGAGCGCGGTCAGGACGTCGTACATCTGCTGGACGTGAGCGTCGGGGTACCCGCAGTGTGGGAAATAAGCCGTCGCAACTCTCACCTTGCAGGCGGATGTGTCGAGGTCGATGTAGGCGATGCGCTCGCTGACGCGCGTGAAGCATGTGATGCTGTGCACGTGCCGTCGGTGGATAAGAAATGCTACGCCTCTTGATGTGGTGGTGTGGCCCGCTACCGCAAATACGTGGGAACACAACTTCGTTGTCCACATCTCTCGTTCTGTCGTCCTCCAAGCTACCCCGAGAGGGCTTGAAGAGGCCCATATCACTGATTTGCAAGATGTGCTTCTATGGTTCACAAATGTTCGCATTTTCAGGCTCCCAACGATCCATCCCAAGAGAACTAAGATCGCCCCAAGAGGCCTCCAAGGGGCCCACACATTGATCCTCGATCTGCGAACATTGACGACGGCGCCTTCCTAAGACGGTTCCCAAAGACTATGATATCAAGCATGGATACTACCGTAAGTTTACGTCGCGATGACGTCCACCCTGGTTTCTGACACCGCGCGGGTCGTTCAATCTTCAACGATCGCAGCTTTCCGACGCTGGTCCTTCGAGATCGGCCGACTCTAGGCCACTGGCGCAGTTCAGCCTTGAGCGCCGGAACTGTGGTCGTGGCGTCAACGCAGCGTGAAACTGCCTTACCAAAACCTCAGTGCTCAGTACTTGACGATGACGACGACGACGACGACCCTGACAATGGAGGACAACGTCACCAAACGAGCGCGACATGGCGAGGTAGCAATCGGGGGTGAGCAGCCGCGAGGACGCGTCCGGCTCGGAGGACATGTGTAGCTTCCCGCCCGACGCGAGGATCCTTGTCGTCGTTCGTCGTCGTCGTCGTCGTCGCCCTCGTCGTCCTCGTCGACGTCGTCCTTGTCCTTGTCGTCGTCGTCGTCGTCAACCTCGGCAACCTCGTCATCGTCATCGTCTTCGTTGTCGCCGTCGTCTTCGTCGTCTACGTCGTCAGAGTCGTTGTAAACGTCGCCAATTCGGCCTCTGGGGCGTCGGTTCGGACTCGTGAGCCGTCAACAACCGAGCAGGGATGAACGACTGGCCAGGATGGAGTCTGAAGGGTGTCCAGGGACCAGTGTTGTGTGGTTGGAAAATCTCAATCGCCACCAAGATGCTGGACCTACAATATGTACAAGTTTCGAATATCCGCCACCGTACCCTCTGGCACGTTTAGGCGCGGGACCTCCCCCTCGCATCACGCTTCCTCGCGTGCATCGCCCCCCTTCTCCCAAGATCCCTCGACGGCCCGGCCCGATGCCCCCCTGGAGCGCTCCAGGGATCTCCAATGCTTTCGAGATGGCCCAGGGAGGCCACCAAGGCCGCCAAGATGGCGCAATATTGCCTCAAGAGGCATCCGACAGCCAACCAAAGACCCTAAGAAACACCAAGACCCCAAGATGGTTTACGTCCTAAGGCTGCCCTAAAGGAGCCCAAGATCGCCCCACAATGGCCCAAGAATGCCCAATGAAAAACTCCTCACGGAATTAAAACGATTGGTGTCGCGTCTTACGGCCTTCTGGGCGGTACTCGAAACGTCGCCACACAGGGTGCTGCTGCGCTGGCACGATGGCGGAACTTGCCGCAGGCACTTGGATCAAAAATGAGAGTGGTTTACAATTTTCGAGTCTCCTGGAGCAGAAGAAGGCAAGAGAGGAAGAATATGGGGATCCTCTTCTTCTCGTCCTCCCTGTCGGGCCGGTGGATGTCTGTAAGCATGGTCACCTGCCAAGGCTCCGACTTGGCCTTCCGCTTAGCGAGAACCGCGATCGAGTCGCCCAGGAAGGCGCTCCGCAGCCGGATCGGCCCCTCGGTCGCGCCTCCAGCTCGGTCCAGCATCGCGATCGTGATGGTGGTTCCAGAATCCGCCACCGTGCCTCGAGGCACGAAGTGGAGTGCCCAAGTGCTCGTGCAGCTGCGAGTGGTAAAGGGTTATGATATGGTGCTTGTGATAAGGTCTGCCTCCCCCCCTGGTGCACGTCAGCCGCCGCGCACGAGGCCTTTTCAGGAGGGGACTAAGAGGCCACCCAAGAGACCTTAAAATACAATACCTCCAACATGCCCCTTGCTCACGATCCCGGCACGGTGGCGGGGCAGGCCGAAAGCCGCCTGATAGTCCGCCTTGCCTCTGGAACAAGCACGAGCACGGTGCACAAGTTCAACACCTTTCAGGCGCCCGTGGGGGATCTCTCCACGGGCGCTGGAGCCCTCCTGGCCTGCCAGGCCCACCACCGGGACCTTCCCAGGTGGTGCGGGCAGCTGGGCCCTCGCTGGCAAAGAACCGCCCACGAGCGCCCGAAAGGTTGGTGCTCTGTCAGCTGCTTTCCGGCCGTCCGCTGCCCTCGAAGTGTGTTTTCGACAGCACGGCGAGGTCCGCGACGGACTGGCGGACGGCGTCCTCCCAAGCCTCGCCGTTCCTCCTCAGACGCTCCATGATCATGGCAGGCAAGCGCTGCTGGGCGAAGTGCGATAGCTCGTGCCCCTCGAGCCCATGGCCGTCCAACACCCCAAACAAGACGCACTCTTTGCGCGCCAGCAAGAAGAAATCGTCCTGGCTGGGTTTAACGAAGAGGCATAGACCTCGGGCATCGCGAACAATGAGCGACAACCAGTTTTCCCGAGGACGGCAAACTGACCCCGGGGCCCTCTTTCCCCAAACGATATGTGAGCCAGCGTGGACCCAAAACAATGGTTTCTAGCGTACTAGGTGATGCAATCTATGTGATGCAAGGTATGTGGTGCAAGCTGTGTGGTTTCAACTATGTGGTACAAGCGATGTGGAGTAAGCTATGTGGTGCAGTGTACGTAGTGCAAGCTGTGTGGTGCGATCGATTTCTACAAACGCGTTGACCAATCCCGTGTTCTTGCAAGCATCCCACACTGCTAGGAAGTGCGTAGTTTTACTGTGATATACGACTATATCAGACTGTTTGGGCGAAGACCCGAAATCCTGTGGCCCTGTGTTGCTCGAGAAAAAGAGCAGCCCTCCTTCCCCCTTCTCTCCGCGACGGGGGTCGGGGAGCGCGTGCATGGTAGCGATGCTCGCTTGAGGTTCCCGGGCCAGCTCCGCACCCGGCGAGCTCCAGGAGCCCCTCGAGGGGGCCCAGCGGCGGCGAGCCGCGGGTCCAGCGGCGGAAGGCCGCGGAAGCAGCCGCGGAACGATCACCGCTGCTAGCAAGCAGAATACCCCTTGCTGGCCAGAGCTGCGGGAGGACCCGCGCCCTGGCGAGGAGGTCAGAACCAGGGTTCGACTCCAGCCTTCGAGCAAGTTGAAGGCCAAGGCTGCGAGCAAGCTCAAGGCCAAGAAGGCGAACAAGCGCGGTGGTGGAGCACCAGAGGCGAGGGACCACCACCAGAACCGAGGGAGCGCCTGGCGGAAGCTGGCCGAATGCGGCGACGCGGCTGAGCTCACGGAAGAGAAGCGAGCAGCGGTGAAGCGACAGCTCGCGCTCGATCTCCAGCGTCAGGCGAAGGCCGACAAGGACGATGGAAGGTCAAGTGTGGGAACTGGTCGAGCAAGTGCAGAGGCTGACGACGGAGAGTCAGCAGATGCGGACGGAGCCTCAGCAGCGAGACCTAGCGATAGCCGAGATGCGAGGCCAGCTTCAGGGACAAGCCGACAGAGAACGAGGGCCTCGTGGCGAGATGATGGACCCGAAGGTGCTTCACAAGGCGAAGCCGTTCGACCGTCAGAGAGCGAGCTGGAAGACGTTCAGCTCCCAGTACAAAGCCTACCTGATCGCGCAAGACAGAAAGTATCGACCTCTTCTCGAGAAGAGCGAATACGGAGCACAGGACGTAGACAACGTGAACCTGTCAGCCCAAGGAGAGGAGCTCAGCACGCAGCTGTACTTCGCCCTGGTCCTGGTCATGCCCGAGGACTCGGTCGGCGAGATGATCGTGAGGAACAGCAGCTCGGGCGAAGGAGCGGCGTGCTGGAGGCAGCTGCAGAAGGAGTACAACCCGAACGAAGCAGGCAACGCGCGAGCGATGTGGACCAATCTCACGGACGCGAAGTTCGAGGCAAAAGACGACGTGATGGTGAGTGTCAGCAAGCCCGATGATCACATGACGAGGTATTAAAAGATGTCGGGCGAGCCCGTGTCGGACCTCATCAAGCGAGGAATCTTCACCAAGGCGCTCAAGGATCACGACGAGTTGCAAACGCACGTGTTTCGGAACAGCAGTCGGCTGAACACATACGAGCTCCTGCGAGCCGAAGTCGTGTCTGCGCTGATGGCGGAGCGAGCGGTCCACGACGATCCGATGGACATCGGCGGGTTGAAGGGCGGCAAGAAGCCGTGGAGAGGCCGTGGCAAAGGCAAGGAAGGCGAGGGCAACACGAGGCCGTCGAACCCAAACGCCGGCCTGGAGTGCAACTACTGTCACAAGAAAGGCCACCGCAGCGCCAATTTCCGCAAGCGGATAGCCGACGAGAAGAAGGTAGCCGCCAACAACGACAAGGGCAAGTCGCAACACAGAAAAAAAAAGGTCAAAGAGAAGAAGAGGGTCGCAGCAGCGGCAGTAAAAGAGCTCGAGAGGTTGCGACAAGCAGGAGTGGCTCCAGCAACAGGGTCGACGGTGCTCACACAGCCTCTGCTAGGGACACACAGCAGCGCCGAAAGCGCAGTGACCCTGCCAGTCTGTAGAGGGCTGCAAGCGAAGATGATTCTGGCCCTGAGGGCCGAGGTCACAAAGCCCGAGACCACAGGATCGACTGGAAGTACACCTTGCCCTCCTACGATTATTATATCTGCAGCTCGTGCAAGAAGCTGTTCGAGGGCAAAAGGTGGCATTACCATGAGTGGAGCCTGGACTTCTGCGAGACATGCGCAGAATACTGCCTGGACAAGCACAAGCACTCGAACTTCGACTAGCGGAGAATGTAGCCGCAGCGAGTCAGCGGCGGTAGAACCCGCGCTGCCAGCTGCGGTCGGACCCGCGCTGCCCGAAGTCGGAGGCCTACAAGAGCAGGTGCCGGAAGACGACCGACTGCGGTTAGCCCCGCTTCGGAATGCCGTCATGCTCGACTCAGGCGCGCAGATCAGCGCAGTGCCGATGAAGCAGGTGACCAAGCACAACTACACGCCGACGGACAGCAACGTCGTTGGCTTGAAGGGTATCGGAGGCGAGGAGATCGAGAGGTACGGCCATGTGGAGCTTAACCTGTCCAGAGGAGGAGAGGTGATCCAAGTTGGTGCGGAAGTTGCCGACGTGAAGGACCCCGTTGTGGCCACAGATGCGGTAGTGCAACGAGGCCAGAGCGTTCTCCATAGCCCTGCAGGTCACTGGATCATCAACGGCGCCATCGAGCCACCTGATGGAGCTGAGTTCGTACCTCTACGACGTCATCAGGACAACTACTACTTAGAGTACGATTACATCATGGACGGCAAGACCCAACCAAACGCCGCGCAGGTAGCAACAGTGAGGGAGACGCTACCGCGGAAGGTCCCAGCTGAGCAAGCAGCTGGATATTTGCCGAGGGTTCTCGGCCCAGAGGCGGACGAGACTACGACTGTGCCGACGAGGGTGCTGAAATCACCCTACCAGCCTCGTGCAGCGGAGAGGGCCGCGCACGAAGGGCATCACCTACCGTTTCGCCCTTGGTGTCCACTGTGCGTGGAAGCTCGAGCGGACGACGATCCACACTACGGGCAGGAACCAACGGACGAGAAGCAAATGCCGAAGGTGGTGTTCGACATCTTGTACGGCGGGACTGACCAGCTGGCGGCTAAGTACAAACTCGAAAGAGGCCACTTCAGCTTCCGTGAGAAACCGCTGGTAACGAAAGCAGATCTAGAACAGGCGATCTCAGTTCTGAACGTGATCGATTGCAAGATCCTGGCGCAGGCGACGCTGTATGCTAACAAGGAGCTAGACGACTACAAGGTGTGCTTCCTGATAACTGTGCTAGAGGTCTGGGGTCACACGGCAATTGTGCTCCAGACAAACCAGGAGCCTGCCGCGATGGCCCTGGCAAATGCAGTTCGAGATCGCAGGTCTCACTCTACCTTGGTGCGGGGATCACCGCCTTTTTCCAAGCAGAGTGCTGGCTACGCCGAGGGTGCCAACAAACTTGCAGCAGGTTTGCTACGGACCTACAAACTGAAGCTGGAGCACAAGCTGGGGCGCGAGATCAAGATGACGGATCCGATCGTGCCTCGGCTCGCCAACTCGGTGGGCTGGATGATCACCAGGTTTTAGCCACGAAGCCATGGAGGCTCTTCCCACAAGATGCTGTGCGGCAAGGAGTACAGTTGTGAGATCGCGGGGATGGGCGAGCAGGTCTGGCATCGGATCTCAGCCCGAGTTGCTGCTGGACGCGGCAACTGGGAGGCCCGCTTCACGAAAGGGATCTGGGTTGGAAAGAGCGAATTGGACGACACTCGCGTGGCGTGCAGAAGGCAGAAGGTCAGGACCGTGCGAGGCGAAGCGAAGCGAGGCGCCCGTCAGTCGTCCCGGCGGGGATGGCCCTACGAGAGCCCGGCGGTGGCGCTGGAGCGCCGAGAAAGAACCTTAGTCGGGGAGGAGGGAGGAAGGACTCAGACCGTGAAGTGGGAGTTTTGCACACAATCCCCGCAATTGACATAAGCCAACAATTCGGGCTCCAACGCCGACCATGCTTTCTTGTCCGTCGCAATGTGTATCCACCTTTTGTGGTCGTCGTTCCCCTCGTGTGTAGTGACTGTGCGTACGAATTGTGTGACTTCGGCATCCCATCTTTTCCGTTGTCCTCCGTGGCGTCGTAGGGTTTGGCGTGGGTCGTGGGTGTTCGGGGTCCATTGTAGTGAGACCCGCGTCCATCTGTCGTAGTCGTGGGCTGCGACGCGCGATGCCCGCCGCCACTTCTGTGTGAAGTCTACCGTAGGCCAGTCCTCTACGCCTGCGCGCCGAGCATGCTCTAGGGCTGCGTGCGTCGATCGTCGTATGAATTCTTCCCATGGTTCCACAACCCGTCGTCTTCTGCTCTGTCGTCGGCTCTGTCGTGGTGGATCGGGGAGTCTGCTGCGTCGGCGCTGGTCGCTTCGTTGGTGTCAGTGTCGCGAATGTGGTTTTGTATGTTGCGACGCCTTGGCATCCCGATGACAAACCTGAACATCCTCCGCTGTGCACGCCGTGAAGTGAGAAGCATGTCTCTGGTGAGAGTCCAAGAGGAGCACCCGTACATCACTGATGATGTGAATGTTCCGTTGAACAGCCCAGTCGACTGTGGAGTGGGAAGCACTTGTGTGTCAGCTCGTATCTGACTTGGTTGAAGCGGCCCCATCCTGCGGCAACCCTAGTGCGTAGCTCTGTCTCGTGGAAGTCGTGGAAAGTAAGCTTCCTTCCTAAATACTTCGTGCTCTGGACGGAATGCAATATTTCGATGCGTTAACCGTTGACGTCGACATGAGAAACGGTTCTCCCCTCTCTCCGGCTGACGTTCGTCAGGGTCTTGGTCTTGTCCGGGTGCAGGGTCAAACCGCATGTCTTGGCTTGGGACTGTACATCCCGGAGCTAGCAGGAGAAATGTCGTAAGTTGGGGGCGTAGAGCAAGAGATCGTCAGCGAAACTTAGATGTGTGATTCGTGCTAGTGGTGCGAAGCCTAGTTGGATCCCGAAGATCTCGCGCTGCCACTCAGGCTTCACTTGTCTGAACACCTGCTCGAGGACAGCATCGAACAAGAAAGAACTCAGTGGGTCTCCCTGGTTCGCGCCACGCTCGAAACTTAAAGTCCTGCTGGTGGTGACTGTCCTGACTGTTGCCGTCTGGGTGCAGTGCAACTGTTTGAAGAAGTTCATGTATGCAGGAGGTATGTGCTGTTGTCGCACAGCTTCCCAGAATTGTTCGTGGTCTACACAGTCAAACGCCTGCTTAAAGTCGACCGCTGCTGCCCACAGCTGTAGCTGCCACTCGTACGAACCCTCATGTAGCATGGCAGTGGTGAACAGGTGGTCCTCCGTGCAATAATCCATCCGGAAGCCTGCTGGGTCAGGGCACTGTTGCGAATCGAACAGAGAGTTCAGACGGTTGCAAAGGAGGCGAGACATCAATTTGTGGAACAATGGGATACTGGCAATCGGTCTGTAATTGCCTGGGAGTTGTGGGCTTCCTGATTTGTGAAGTACGGTGATTGTGGTGGTCTTCCACTGGTCCGGTGGTGTCTGAGTAGGTTTGGTTGTGACGTTGTAGAGTCGGAGTAGGTGGTAGTGTATGGTAGCGCCCCCAGCTTTGAGCATTTCTGCTGTGAGCCCCGCGGTGTCTTTGCACTTGTCTTTCTTGAATTGTTTGACTGCTTGCTGGAATTCGGTTGCAGTGAAATGTGGGATGGTTGAGTCGTGCTGAGTTGTCGTTGGGGTGACGCGGAAGCTGTCTGAACGGTGCGGATTGTTGTATAGCTCCTCGTAGAAGGTTGCGAATACGTCTCCTATGCTTTGCCTGTGTCTCCTCAGCGCCATCAGGTGTCTTCATTGATGCAATTCGCTCTTTGTGCTTGGTGGTTTTTAAGCCAGCTGTTCTCTTTAGGTATTTGCATTGGCAAACGATGTGTTCGAGCTTGGCATTCATCTCGTTGCGTTTGATGGCTCTTGTCTGCCGCATGATTTGCTTGCTGAGGGACCTTCTGGTAGCTGGGTCCCTTGGTGAAGTAGTGCGTCGTTGTTGGATGAGAGCTTTGAGCCGTGCTGTCGGACCGTCGTCGGGGATATCCGGAACGTCTCTGGTGCTTTTCTCGTGGTAGTCCTTGTTTGCAAGCTGGAGCCGTTCTCCGATGTCCCGGCATCTGCTGTCCAGGTCGGCGTCGTGGTGCTGCTTTGCCAGATGCTCTTGAAGGCACTGCTGAAAGAGAGGGTCGTCAGCTGAAGGTTGGGAGCGCCAGTGGTGGCGCGTTTGCTTGTGTCCCCTCTTCCTTCTCGCCGTAGTCCTAGATGCCAACTTGATGTGCATTGCTTGGTGGTCGGAGCCCAGATCTGGGACGTTGGAGGCGAACGAATCAATCACCTGGTTGCGACGTGCTGTCTATCAGGATGTAGTCAAATTGTATATGAGTCGGCTGTTTGCCACTGCTCGTGTAAGTGAAAAGGTTGTGGTGGTGCTTGTAGAAGAACGTGTTTGCAATGATCATCTCACGTGTGCTAGACCAAATACGGAGCCATGCCCCTCGCGGGTTGCTCGTGCCCAGTCCGAACTTGCCTACCGTGTTCCTCCAGCCCAAGGTCTCGGATCGTTCGTCGTCGTCTTTGCCGCCGTCGTTATTGTCAAGGTGTCTACCAACCTGTGCATTGAAATCCCCCGTAATGGTGCACGTCCGCTTGTCTCGGATAGCGGCAGCGTACAATGAATCCAGATAGTCGTACATGTGCTGGATGTGAATGTCTGCGTATCTGGAATGAGGAAAATACGCCGTCACGACTTCCATGTTCTGGGATGTCGATGTCGATGTAAGCGATTCGCTCGTTGACGGCCCCGCAGCATCTGACATGCCGGACGCGTTGCCCATGAACGAGACATGCAACTCCTCGCGACGTGTCTGCGTGGCCAGATGCTGCAAACAAATGGATGCCACGGCTTGTAATCCACATCTCTCGTCGATAGCAACAACATCCCAGTGTACGTCATTCGATTCATGCAACCACTCGTCTATGGAATCGTCCGTTGTAAGACTTCGCACATCCTAATGGTAAATGGTTGGGGTGACGATGGATGTGATGCTCGATTTGCAGATTGCGCTCTTTCTCGTCGCCGTCGTTGCTTTCCCGTGGGCGATTTCGGCGCATGCTGATGGGAACGTCGCCATCCGCCGTGCTATGTTTTCCTCGTCCTCCTCCAGTGTTTCGTGAATTGGTCTGTGTATGTGGAAGCGTGGAGTCGGGTGCCAGAGGCTGAAGGTCGGAA